ACGGCCAGTGGCGTATTGTTCAAGCTTACAATAAGCTGAACACTGCCACCATTCCAGCACAGACACCGATTCCCTGAAAAGATTTTCCCAGAACAACATGGTTGGATGCACAAAGTACAGTGCAATTGACTTGGTCGATGGGTACTACCGCTCATGAGAGCGAGTGATATTCCGCTGACAGCAGTGAGCACTCCGAGTGGCATGCCCTGGGAGTGGCTGGAGATGCCCCAAAGGCTGTTCAAAACACCAGCAACATTAAAATGTCTTGTGACGCAGTTTTTTAGGCCACACCGGGCGTATGCACAGACATACTTCGACGCCATCTTTGTCCACACTTGTGCGTAGCACGGGGGGACAGATGAAGAGAACCACGTCCATTTAAGGGCGGTGCTCAAGTGTATGCGCACGAATAACCTATATGCTCATGCAGACAAAATCATCTTCGACACTGAAGTAATCCCTTTTTTAGGGTGCTTCATCGGGAAGCGTATCCTTCAAGCGGATTTGCTAAGGCCAATGACTGGCGGGTTTCAAAGAACTAAAAAAACTTGCGCAAGTGGGTTGGCCTCGCCAAAAACTAATAGAAGTACAGCGAGAATTATGCAGAAATGGCAAGGCTATTGTCGAAGCTCCTTTAAAAGGATGCGGAATGGTGCCGGGACACCGAGGTTTTTGAAGGGGTCAAAGACAGCCTCCTTCATGCACCACTGCTGGTGGTACCAGACCCTGATCGTCCTTTCAGTGTCGTTTGTGACGCTTCGGACTTTGCCATCTGCTGTGCACTGCTACAAGCAGACATTGAGGGGCGAGATTGAGTTACCACGTTCGAATCTCGTCAGATCAAGGCTGCAGAGAAGAACTACCCAGTATGATTAGCCGTTTGTGATCAACACACATCATGCGTCATTACGACTTAGTCGTTCCACCTCTCGCAGAGGATAGCCAGGCTGCTTACATTCTTTGCAGAATATAACTTCATGGCGAAGTATAAGTCAGGCAGAATAGTTTGGCTGATGCGTTGTCACGCACACCGGATTATAAGCTTGCTCATGTCACGACGGTGACGTCGTCAGTGACGGATTTGATCCGAGCCGCGTACGCGGGTAATGATATGTGCGTAGCGCTGCTACGGGCTCTCGGGGGCAAGGAGTTTGAAAACACAGACAAGAAGTTGTCGTCGCGACTGCACGCACGGTTGCATCAATATTCATTGAATACCGGATTGCTGTATTATAGCACCAACTCGACGAATACGCCACGAATTGTGGTTCCTCACGATGAGAATTAAAGTATCGTATCCTCTATAAGACTCACGACACCCCACTCAGTAGTCATCTTGTTCGTGAGAAGACCTCCTGCACTGTGGGTTGCCACGACAGTGGCCCAAGCTGTACAAATGGACGAGCACCTATGTGCGCACGTTTGGGACGTGCCAAAGGATGAAGTCCTCTCCAAATGCGACGACTCTGCTGGTCAGTTTGCCGGTACCCCGGGTGTAGGCAGTCCATGAGTATGGACTTTGTGTTTGGCTCGCTGAAGGACTCGGCGGACAACACGAATGGCGTGGTCTTCGTCGATCATTTGAGCAAGATGACTCATCCCGCCACAGTCCCGGATACATCAATGGTGCTTGTACAGCGACGCTGCCTGGACTCCCGGAGTCAATTGTCTCTGATAGTGAGACCCACGCTTCACTGAAAATTTTGGTCGACGATCTTCAAGGTGCTGGCACCAAGTTCATTATGTCAATCGCGGACCATTCGCAGACCAATGGTTAAACTGAGTGCGTGAATCGCTTCGTTGAAGATGTCCTTCGCAGCGTCTGCGCTGAGACGCCGAGGCACTGGATTGTCATGCTGCCACTCATAGGTTTGCGCTGAACAATGCAGTGCATTCATCTACCAGCTACACGCCGTTCTACGTGAACAGAATCGTTCATCCTCGTGTCCCGCTGCAACCGCCATCCCACGACTCAGGGCTTGTTGGGAGAGGAATAGCCGAGCGGCTAGCGAATGGCAGGCCCCTTACTGATCGGAAAGAAGTCGATGACTTTCTGTCTACCAAACTAAGTGTCTTACGACTTGTTTGCGATGCGCTGGCTGAAAGCCAATATATGCAGAAAGAATATACAGACGGAAAAAGCAGAATTTTTTTTGAGAACTGTGAGGTCGAAGACCTGGTCTTATTAAATGCGAAAACCCTTCCTACACATTCAGTTTTTGCTGTCATTATGACGACGCTCAGCGTCTTGACGCAAGCATATGGTGTTGCTGTCGCCTCCTCACAGAGGTTTACGTCTCGGCGAGACCAGTGGGAGCACACACTCAGCGTCGTCTAGTGCCTCCACCTCCTGCTCAACCAGAGCCCTGATGTCGTTAACAACATCCAGCGAAGAGCTCCGTAGCCTTCGTTCAGTGCATAACGTGCCACTCCATGCGCACCTGAAGGGCCTTGCCCAAGATGCCTCGGACCTCGTCCGACCATTCCGGCATCGTCACTGTTTGCTTAGGAACAGGGACATGTGTCACGGTGTCAAGGGTCCCTGTGGACCTTGCTGTCAAGTTTCTTGACTATGATTACGTAGAACGCTGCTTAGTCTGAGACTTGAATTCAAGGTATGACCTCATCCTTGGTATGACATTGTTGGAACACCATAAGCCATGTATTGATTAATGGTCAAAGACCCTGGGCGCTACGCGCACGTCTCTGGATGAAACTTTGGTGAGTCCTGAATCCACCTCTGCTAGGAAGCAAAATGCTACTGGCGCGGACACTGGACCGGAACGATCAACGTGCTCGAGATCGAAATATCCGAGTTGTCGAACACCAAAGGTGTATCGGACAGGATTCCCGAGCATGGCTCGTGTGCTGAACGTGAAATGGCGCAAAACTTGCTGAGCGCTGCTCAATTATCCGAACAGTCGCTGTATGCAATGCGTGCCATTGTCGGCTAGGTGCCGAGGCATCGAGGGTGAGGCCCCAGTGATGCACGTGAAGTGACACATAATCCACAAATCACTACTCACGTTTCTAACCAGTCGCTGCATGCCACGAGTGTCAGCGCCACAGCATACAGTTGACTTCATTTCATCGTGGAGCGTTGAGCATAGATGCCCGACACCCCAAAGGCGATCAGGATCTTCCATGGCTTTTCAAAGCCCTTCACGGTCGCTTTCATGACCAACAAGCCCGGCTTCCATGCACGTTCCGTGTTCAAGAGCACGGAGCTCTTCGAACTGGGCCCTGCTGACCTCTGGCTCTTTGAGGCTCAACAGAACTCATTTCTTCCCCAGAAGGGCAGCCCGCGCCTACTGGGTGTTGTCTTTTCCACGCGACAAACCAGAAGCCCGGTAAGAAGCCGGACGTCGGTTCGATGAACCTTGACGCGCCTTGCGCAGGACAAACAATTCGAAGGTGACGGGTGTCTTTACAGACAATATACCATCGGGTGTCCGAACGCTGCTTGGCAGCTCAGAGCTCTGCCTCCTTTTTTTTAGAATATCTGAGATCCATTGGCTCAGACCCGCTCGACGAGCTGCTAGAGTGTGCATTCCAGCGAAGCCGTGCCGACTTAAAGTTGCATTCGGCATTATGCCACATTCACCGCTAAGAAGCCGGATGCACACGGAAGACTTCCATTCTGGCCACGCCTCCATAAAGACGGCCCTCGGGGAAAAGATTGGCGGTCATTTCGGCAATGAGAGTACGCAACTCTTGGAGAAAGTCCACCAATCTCTTCTTGTCCTGTCGAGCGGCAAGGAAACGCAATCGCACGCGATATGCCTGGCCAGGCGGTGGGAACACTTGCAAAAGCTGCAGCTTCAGCTCCGTCCAGGAAGTAAACGCCGCTTCGACCGAACTGCCGCACATCAGTGCCCATTTTCACGCTCTACCACCGAGCTTGGAAATAGCTAGTGCCACGCGCCGTTGCTCGGTCTGGAGCATGGCGGACACCATGGCAATCTCGGCCTCTCTCACCCCGAGCAGGGAATTTTATCCTTGCCCTCGAATGCCTTAAAGCTCATCATGAGCGGCTTGAGTCAGGAGGAGCCATCCATCGTCGACGATGGCGTCATGAACGCAGTCAAAGCTTACACTCTCTGCTGTAGGTGCTCTAGCTGAGCATTTTCATAGCTCGAAAATACCTCTAGACGCGCGCTGATCGCTTCAGGTCCTTGCAAAGCGGGGTGTTGCACGGCCCCAAGGCTAAGCAGAGACATTAGCTTCTTAAGCCCGTCATGCATGCCCTGGGGCAAATCGGAGAACTGTTCTACACCATTTTGTGATCACACCCTCTTGTGTGACCCAGCCCTTCATACCAGGGTACATGTAGCCCCCGTTACACTTTTGGGTACTCTTGGAGTTAGCGGGTTGCGATCCACTACAATCGCACTGGCTCTAAGTATAAAACGAAGGTCACCGACAGCACCGTCACGGCAGCCCCGCTGCAAAAAGGGACAAGACGTTATTGCTGCTCGGAGATCTTCCAAGCCCCCTTTCACAGCCGGCAATTTCTTCATGCAGCATATGATGCTAGAACGAAAGATCCCTTTCAGATTTATCACTGTCTTCTCTGGGTCATGCTATCTACACCATATGGTAAGGAGTGATTACTCCTGTCAATTCTTTTTTATGAAATTGTGTCAACTCATTATTTTGATCAGTATATTGCGTCACTTTTTTGCGAGGGGCTCGCGGCAAATTTAGCAGTGGCAAGACCCCTTGACTTCACGTTCAATTGGTTTGCAACAGCAATGATTCTTGTCTCGCAATATGAAGACGACTTATTCAACAGCGATAAATGGGCAAGAGCAAACGGTTCTTCGACGGACCAACCCCTCTGGTTGTAAGTATATCTGCACAGGAGCAGCTGGCTTTGAGATTTTTGATACATGCCCAGTTCGAAAAGCAAAAAGTATAGCATCACTTTAGTACATTTGTGAAGCGTTTGGCCTATTTATGTATGTTATTCTATCTATGTATATCAGTTTTTGTCTTGCATGTCAAGTGTGACGCTTGATGGAATGGAAACTTCTTCTCCTCGGACGTGGGCTCAACAGCGCGAGATCAATCGACCTCCTTCCAATCAGCGGATAGCATACAGTGACCGTACCGAAATTCCGGTCACGTCGAAGAAAAAAGTAAATGGAGTGACATCAATAACATCTCCTGAATTCGAAAACTCAAGTAGTGATTCCAAAAACGACGATCATGAAGACATTGAGAAACACATATGCACTGATAAGGAAACTTACGAAGCTCTTAAACAGCGTTACTGGCAGCTTCAGGAAGATATTGCAGTTTTGGCAGCCCACATGGACAAACAGGAGATAGCTTACAAGCGAGAGCGCTCAGAAGCAGAGGTGGAACGTCTCACGCTGCTACAAACTAATGCTACTCTTAAAAGTGAGCTAGACGCCTTACGTGTGGAAAAGGATGCGCTGATTAAGCAAAGCACCCGGATGGCAGCGCAGCAAGCAGAAGAGGAACAGCAGACAAATGATGCACGTGAAGCACACGAAGAACTACTTCGTGCTCTTGCACAACAGCAGCAAGAGACCAAGCATTTTCAGACTCTTGCAGCTTGTGCTGATCAAGACCGGAAGGATATGCGTAAAGCATTGGATAAAGCTCAGATCCACTGTTCCAGGCTGGAAGAAGAGCTGACAATAGCTCATACGCAGGTCCTACACCTGCAAAGCGAGCGGGATACCTTACAGGCCGCCTTGGATGCTGCTGCGACCGGGGCTGCTAATTTAGAGGCACGTCAATTACAAGAACAAGACGAGTTGATCGCTAATTTGCGCGCTAATCTGTTGCAAATGGAGTTTGAGCTCAAGACGCTGTCAGCTGATAAAGCGACACTGGAAGAGAAGCTTCAACTGCGATCAGCAATCGCGCAGTATGCAAATTTTGATGTTGTTCCATTGGATGACAGTGTTAGCGACATGGTTTCGAAGCGAAAGGGCCCAAACAAGCGCACGACAATTCGCCCCGTGAAGGCCAGCAAAGAAGCTTTAAAGCGACGCGGGTCGGACATTTTCAATAATTTGACGGAATTGCCAAATGCAGTCACCGAGTCACGAGAGTGCGCTAGCGCACCTATTTGGTCGTCATCGACTCCGTCTTTTCGTTCCAACAAAAATCAGAATGACATAGATTCTCGACAAAGGCATAGCTTTCGTGACCGTATAGCACCGCCAAGCGGCTTTTCATCTCTTGTGGCTAAGACGGTTCAGTCAGCACGAAAACATCTTGCTACTCCTTTACAAAACACCTTTGGAAATTCGTAAATCATATTCTAATTAGTAAATCGATCATTCGCTAAAGTTTGTTAAGTCGTCATAAGTCAAATGACCCATTCCTTTTATCAAAATCTAAAAATTGTCAAGCTAAGCTGGCAAGAGGTGCGATTTATTTTCTCCTTCATTCATATCTTTCTCTTCAACAAGTTTCTTGACAACCTTCGAGTGGCTCATGTAGGATAAGTAGGCGTTCCAAAACAGCCCCATTACGTTGGAAAAGAGCACTTGCAGCGATCCTGGCACGAAGCGAAAGTTAAAAAGCTGGGCCGGCACCCATACGACCCAATTGGTTTTCGTGATGGGCCACCAATCGGAGCGCAGTTTGTCAGGAATGTCCTCGGCGTGTCCTTCAAGTGTTAGCACTGACGATAAGAAGATTGGTAGAAACGTAGGAGCAAAACCCAATTGATCTAGTGCCAATCGCTTTGTAATTGCAGCTGTGGAAACTCCAGGTAATCTTGACCCAAGAAATCTATACCACACATGAAGGATAGGCGAAATCACGACCCCACCCAAAAACGTGAAAATGGCAGTGCGTTTGATGTCTAATTTCGCATGACCATCGTCGGATTCCAAAAAGAGCTGACATCCGACGTCGCCAAGCCCCGCAATGGTGCCACCCGTTACGATCTTTGTACTAATCGGGTGGGTTTCCAACAAAGAAGCATACGTATTCCATAAGTGACGGATCCCTCGAGATTGAGTCGACGTTGAAGACGATAAGAACACAGTGAGGTGTGGCGATTTCACCGCCGAGCGAGTGAGCGACGATCGTGACAGAGTCCGTAGCGCCGACAGCATTCGAGATTTAAGTTTGGATATTCCACTATCTGAATAATAATGTTGTTAAACACCTCGAAGTTTCGAGACTGAACGACCTTTCGAACAGCATCTCAGCCTGAAATATATAACGACTTGATACTTCATAGTGCAAAGTTTTAATGCGGTATGAGTACCGGTATTTATTTTTGTCATTTTCGATGAGCAATGAGGAAGGTGTTCCTGAGATCGTGTCGGAGTTTCCCGCTCCGCCAAAATTTTTTGCACTGTATGTGGACGGTGTAGACAGCGGCCCGTTGCCGCCTGAACCCATGGAACCCACATACCACATGTTTGGCTCGCCGTACAGCACGCAGGACGTCGTGCCGGATCTACTACCGCAGCCAGGCAAGAAACTTTATGCACAGGGCAAGGAGAACGATAACGATAGCACACCCATTGATTATAAATTGGAGATGAAAAAGTATTTGAAAGATGATTACATGAAATTTATACAAACGGAAACTGATGTATTGCTCTACAGGATCAATCGCTCGCTGCTAGCCAATTTTGTCGGGCTTGTGGATGTACTGATCAAAACGCCGGCCATGTTTAAGTAAGTGAATGAGTTGGTGTGGTATTTTCACGAATCATTTATCTTCAATACTGCGTAGTGCAAAGCTGGACGACATAGAGTTGCTTTTTCTCAACTTACACAATCTCATCAATGCCTTTCGACCGCACCAGGCACGCGAGACGGTGATCCAAATGCTTAAAACGCAGGTGCAGCAAAGGCGGGATGCTGCTAGGGACATTCGTCGTGTCATTGACGAATCGAGGCAAGCAGTGGAGCACATGCATAAAGAACTGCATGATCCAGCGGATGACACAGTTGCTGTTGACGGGGTCTCCTCTACTGTATCCGACAATGATGTCAAAATGGAAAATATAGATGGTTTAGGGGCCACCGGAAATGGAAATAACGCGGCGAATGCAATGGTTGCAGCGCTCACTTGTGCCCAACGGGAACAGACAGAGGTCACGAGGAATAAATCTAACGTTTCTATGGTTGTTCAACTAATTGATACTGTCTTGAAATGCTTGCGATATGCAGAATTTTCGCGAAGCACAGCGAATTCAGGATCAGTTCTTCGCGAAATTAGAGGCCACAATGAACTAATTGGGATAGCGCATCTGCACAAACTTTTGAAACACAAGCTGTGGCACACTCAATTCATTATCGAATCAATTCCTAATATTCCGCATGTGCCAATCTGACGCCATAGCTCTTTTTTAATTCATTCTCTAGCACGCATCTTTTTATCGAAAGCTATACGGGCGCCTTTGTCAGCAAATTACTGTCTGACGATGCAGACGTCGGAGCGGCTAGCGAGGCATGTGCGCCATTCGTAGCTGTAGGGAAGACGTCACAGTTTTCAGGAAGAGAACGGCGAGGTGTGTGCAATGCGATTGGCTCCGTTAGTCGGTCTAAACAATATCCACGCACCGAGATCAGCATCTTTAACTATTGCTGAGATGAATAGCAGTTAACAAACCTTTCAATCACCGCATTAATTGTTTCGTACAAAGGAGCCGCCGCCCGTGGCGGCGGCTCTACGCCCCCTAATAGATCAGGGACGGTCACCATTTTGCCATAAAACAAGCGATTGATGTCGGGCCTTGAAAGGATGACTGACCCCTCAAGCGAAATACCCGCAAAAAGACCCTGAGAGTGCGAGTAGGAATAACAAGGCGCTACATCCATTGAGGCACTCGCCTCAAGCGCTCCAGAAGCCACACGTCCGACAGGCCCAGCCGCAATACCTAATTCTGCCCCAAGATTTACTTGTCCAGAAGCGCAAAACGCGTCAACAGCTTGTTGCGTGTTTAAAATAATCACGAAGTCTGTAAGTTCTCCTCCTATCTGCGGCCCCCAGCCCACACCGGCTGTACCGATTGCCGACGGTGCAGACCACCTCCCGTCAGAAAGTCTAGCCACCACAAGACCCGTTCCAATGCGTCCCGTAAATACAAACCCTATTTTGATTACTGTTAAGAACTGATAACATCGCCAGTCAGTCACTGCATAAAGCTTTTCTTCAATTGTATTGCAAGAGTCGTACAGCGATTCCCTTTGCATGGGTAAGTAATGGTAATGGAATCGAGTATTCCTTCACCATTCCTTGCGGTGTAAAGTTCTTGACGCTATACGTGGCCTTACGAATTTCCTCTTGCAGCGTGAATGAGTAGGGACTGTTTATAATTCTGTGAGGCCCAGACTCTTTCACCTCCGTTTCTTGAACAGCGTGGCTCATTGTCTTGACTAATACATTACTTGTCAGAAAAATATATACATAGTTCTATTTGCAACAGTTGTCGTACGTAGCTCCTCTTGCTCCCGTTCAAGTCGCGCGTAACAGTCATCGCACACACGGTGCGGATTGTGCGCGTTTACAGCCAAGTATTTGCGTTCAGGATTACTAAGAATTTGGTCTTTAGGGATAAGGCTGCGTTGTGAAGTACAAAGCTCACAGAATACGCGGCCGCAATAACTACAAACGGCGGGTTAATCCAACTCAAAGTAACGGACAGATTATAATATGAGAGATAGTGTCTTACCGGCAATGATGCTTGCGGCGTAGCCAATCAAAGAGCAATTGGCAGCCGTAGCACACGCTTACCTCGGCGTCCGGAATCCAACGCACGGTAGTTGGCAATAGGGTGGACTGGCTCTGGTCCATCGATGCTACGATCTTAGAAACTTGTATATACCTTCGTAAATTTGCATTCGACTTTTATATCGAAACTATTCACATAAAAAGAAAAAGATTACAAAATATACACCATTTCAAATTTGTGCCAAGGTTACGTCCAAGCTAATTACGTAGCGTCTGTTGTCTGATGGCTTAAAGCCCCTGTAGCTCTGACAGACTCTTCATTTTTGGCTGCGTACTTGCCAAGTTCCAATAAAAGCTTCACTGATTTATGATCGGGCTCATTGTGGAAGTCTAACGATCGAGTCTGACTGAAGCGAACTAGTTTTTCGACAGCTATGGCAGTACAATCCCGAAAACAACTTGGATGAGTTAAGAGATCCAAAACTAAAATATAAGTACACGCACCAGCCTCCTCAGCATTGCTATCAGTTGATGCAGTAGTGCTATT